CGGTGATGAAGAAAGCTGGAGTGACGTCAAAAGGGCGTTCAGAGTTCGTGCACGAGATCACCTTCCAGAAGCTGACACCCGGCAGCATCATCGCCTTCAGGTGGCACGCACAAACGCCACGCATGATTGTGTGTTGTCACTTTTCAGACTCACGTTTCTCTTTTCTCTCCCTGTCAGGGTCAGTTTGGACCCCAAAGCCCAGAAGCTGGTGGGACTGCTGAGGTACTATCTGTCCCAGTTCAGCCCAAAGTACAGGAGAGGCAGTGTAGCAGATGAAAACCCCCCAGACGCACTGAAGAAGCCCCTGGCACAGTGAGCACACCACACACTCAGCACAGGCCTTTGTGGTGTGGATGAAAGGGACAAGCTGCAGGGTACACTCTGAAAGCTGGTGTATCAGACACAGATATGCAGAGTGCTTCATTCTGGTAGTAGTACAGTATCTTTGCACACACACCTCTTACATACTCTGTACACACACAGACACAAACATTGAGAGCTTCTGTCGTCATAGCTTGGTGGATGTAATTGGATACCAGCTGTCATGAGCTATGGTGTGAAACCAGGACAAACAGTCACCTCATTAGTAGGCTGCTGTACTCTGATCATCCATAAGTTAGCAGGAACATAGAATCATCAGGAAAATGTGACGGGATCGATGAACGCTGCTGTTTATGTTCGTGCTGTTAGCTTTGGGTGAGGTGCAGTCAGCAGCACAATGGAGGCCGACGGCCTGTAGCAGCAGCTTATTGAAACTGTGCTTAACAGGCTCATGTCCAGGCTGACGCTGGCAGACATGAATGTCCTGCTGTTCTGCTGCGACACGGAGGAGAGAGAGGAAGGCGGAGGCTGTTACAGTATCCCCGGCTGGGAAACTCTCAAATACGCAGGACTTCAGGGTAATTCATGTTCTTCAGTCCAGCCTGTACCTCATCTAGGATGGAGAGTGTTACCAAAGTGTTGCTGTGTTTGCAGGTCTGATGTCTGTGTTTGCTGATGTCCGTCCCAACAACGACCTGGGCCATCCTTTGTGTGCCAACCTCAGAGACGGAGACTGGCTCATCGACTTCGTCGCCAACAGGCTGCTGCACAGGGAGGGGCCGCTGGCAGAGGTGAGACTGGTTTAAGGCTCCTGTTTGTGATGACCTCTTACCACCACAGGCCACCTCACACAGGTCGGCTTCTGGGTTTGAGTTTTCTGTGTGCAGTTTTCACATTCTTCCTGTTGGTCCCAGTACTTCAGACTCTGTCGGAGGGAATCACCACTAATGTTCATGTAGATAATGATGAAGTAGTGAGAGTGCTAAAGGACTGCAGCAGCTGTTTGAGAACAAACATGGCAATGAATGGATGAAATGCATTTGAGACTTTCATCACCGAATAAAAACAAGATGAAAATAAAGGAGGGTGGAAGTGAAACAACTACAACTATCTGCCATTTCTCATGAAACCCCATAAAGTCAGTACTGCAGAAGAGAAGCGTGCATGCAGACTCTGTAAACTGTGTCACTGGTAAAAACATGACAGACTTCATGCTCTCCAACAATCTAATGATATTTAGTCGGCTAACACTAAAATAATTTAAAAGCCTAAGCTGACTAAAGCTCAATGAAATCCACATTAGCACTGGAGGAAACGTCTGCAACATTGTGCTCCACAAACCTAAACTCACAGGCTGCTAGCTACAAAGCGCTAATGCTACAAAGCGCTAATGCTACAAAGCGCTAATGCTACAAAGCGCTAATGCTGCAAAGCGCTAATGCTGCAAAGCGCTAATGCTGCAAAGCGCTAATGCTGCAAAGCGCTAATGCTGCAAAGCGCTAATGCTGCGAGTCATTTGCTCAGGCGTGTGACCCAGCTGACTGAGACACGCTTGGATATTTCTGTCCCTGGACCATAGTTGTTTGAGGTGCTGCTGAGCCTTCCTGCGTCTCCTTCTTATACTCGTTCTTCCTCAAATACGGCTTCTTGTTTCTGTCAGACACAAGTCTTCATCTTCGCAGCTCTGTGTGTCTGCAGGTGGGTCGCTGGTTGGCAGCCATGTTTAATTTCCTCAAACACATGCCCCGCTACCTCATCCCCTGCTACTTCGATGCCATCCTAGTTTCCACCTACACCAC